AAATTAATTAAGTAAATTGCAAAGTCAATTAGCCAACTAAAATGGGTCAAAGAAAGAATTTTGGTGGAAGAAAGAACTCAAGGAAGAAGTGAAGAACTATGGCTGGTCCGCTGGTACGTGTAGGGATGTAGGCCAGGACGGCGACCTCGCCGGAAGCTCTGGAACTGTGGACGGAGACCTCACCGGAAGCTCTGGAACAGTGGACGGCGACCTCGCGGCAACTTCTGGAAGTAGGGGTGTAGTGCAGACTAGGGCTAGTGGGCTAAATTCTATACCTAGGGGCTAGGGCTAGGGGGCTAGCCCATAAAAAATTTAATAAAAAATAAATTAAAATATGATTAAATGGCCCAATTCGTACCGGGTACGGCCCCAAATTCCTGATTCCGTCCAGCTCGAAGAAGCCGCCGAATCCTTTTCAACCAAGGCGTTTCCGATTCGCCAATAGCCGTCCCCGCCGGCGAATCCGTCCCCGCGTCGCTTCCGGAGCGGGAGGCGGCACCAAACAGCCGAACCCGTGCAATCTAGGTGATTGGAATATGGAAGGACCGAAAGAGTTACTAAAATTAATTGGAATAGGCGGATATACCGTATATTTACTAAAAAAATATTAAAAATAATATTAGTATTTAAAAAACAGTCCGGTCCGGGTCCCAAACAATTTCAAAATGAGGAACCGGACCGACCCTAAAATATATAGGAACCGGACCGACCCGGACCGTTTTAAATTTTTGAAAAGACGACCTGGACCTAACTCGGCCCGAACCTGGCGGTTCGGTTCCGACCCGCGGTTCCTGGACCTGAATGCCCACCCCTAATGTTACCTACACCATTGAAATGCAAATATGGTTTTAGTCCATGCATGGTACTTCCCACCATATTTAGGATTCTCTACCATGTACTATAAATATGGTTCTTGAAAACCTAGCCTCCTTTTTGAAAGAGCCTAGTCGCCGATCCTTCCCCATCTCCTTCAATGACTGTGGAACGTCGGAACTTACCTAGCCGCCGGTCCCTCCCCTCCTCTTTCATCGATGGTGGATTGCGATTATTATGGCATCCACGTTTGATCCTCTTGCTTCCCTTCAATTCCTTCCAGAGTCAAACTTCTAATCTGTAATCTCCATTATCTTGTTCCCAAAATACTCACAAATTCAAACTATCCTGCATGGTCACCAATGTCAGGACTGCCCTCGATGCTAAACTCCACCAAAAGCAATCTCCAAGGATGGGAAGGTATACCCTAACCTTGAGTACAGTACATGTGATCGACACCTAAATACGTGCATGCCTCATTGCTTGTTATAAGTGAAGCCCTACTATTCACAAATATGTTAGGGGCTTTACCACTTCTGTCGATCTATGGGATGCTCTTGCTGCCCCATATAATTCGGTGTCAACAACTTATATCTATCAAGTTCGAGATAAATTCACACGCCTCGCAAAAGTATAAAAATTATGACTCAATATCTTGATGAAAGAGTAATATCTACTCCGTAAAAAAAATAAGAATTCTATTTCTATTATAAATAATACTAATACGAGATGAGATTTATGAAAATGTCGATATTGCATCCATTCGTCATAAGGAGCATCTCAACTTTCTACCTATATTTCTTGCAACACATATTCTATGTCACTAATTAAATAATATTCGTACCTTTTTTATTTAGCCTTTGTTAAATTTGTTATTCATTCACTCCAAAAAAAGGAAGAAAAATTGCTATTCATTAGTTTAATTTTCTTCAGTCAAAGTAGATACATTTTAATTATCAATTGAATAAAAACTGTTATGTTAACAAAATATAATGAAATGATTTTCTAATTTTTTGTCATGATTATTCTAATGATATAAAGCGTAATTTTTTATTGGAAATTGTTTTCTTGTTTTCTGTATAGTAGTAAATTAACTTGGATTAAATAATGTGATGGATAGTATTTTTATGGGAGATGCTAGGGGTACATCTTTGGTGTACCCCAAATGTACACCACCCCATTCTTTACCATTCATTTCATTTTTTTTATTTTTATTTTTATTTTTTTTTAAAATTTTACTTGCCTTTTTTGTGGTTATGGAGGGGGTGCGGGATATTTGGGGTACACTTTTGGTGTACCCCTATCATTTTCCTATTTTTATTCCTCTGCATGTACTCAATAAAAGTACTTTTCTTAGAAAAATCGCGGATTAACATGACACAATATATATATATATATATACATACATACATACATACATACATACATACATACATACATACATACATATATATATATATATATATATATATATATATATATATAATGTTGAACCTCAATCCTCAAGCTCTCTCAGCTCAATACAGACTCAGAAAATATGGAGTGAACTCGATCTATCTTTGATACATGTGCATGAAACTGATGCAGAGAATAGTCAATCTTTTTCGAAGTTGAACTAGAGATGAGCAAAAGGACTGATGCGGTCAGACTAGACCGGTCTTTGGAAAAGACTGCTACAGTAAAGGACTGGACCAGACTAGTCTGTCTAAAAACCTGGTTCTAACTAGTTCGGTCTT